TGATATTTGTCATGATCTAAAACCTTGTTATTAAAGAATATATAGGTTTTTGTACATGGTCGTCATAAATTATAAGCCAGCTTTGCTCCTGCCAGATTTCAATCATCTTCTTGTTGCATGGTGGATTAAAGAATGTCATGTTTTCAACCTAGCTAACAATGAGTTTTCCGGGGAGGATTCTATTTCACGTTAGCTGGAAATTATTGGAGACTGATCCTCTAATGTTATTTGCAATGTCCAGTAGTCGTTTTGTGCTGTAAGGCCAGTTGTAGTCCACACTCCACAATGTACCAAGACAATATTGAAAGCCTCTGAAATCGAAAAGACAAACAGGTGGGAAGAAAAAAAAAACCAGGATCCTAATCAAGTAAATCGTGTAATAGTAGAACGTTAAACTTCATGTTGTCACAGTTTAAATTCTAAATATACGACTAAAATTTTAGAGGTAATCTGAGATATGTATTACAAAAACCTAAAAAAGGATAAATTATTTTTTATCCCTTGTAATTTGATACTTTATCACATAACCCTCTATGGTTTAAAATCTATATATAACCGCTTTATGATTTGGATTAATGTGTAACTGTTAGTTTTTTCATAATTTTAATAATTAATAGTAAAAAGTCAAAATCAAACTAATAAATTGATATATTTACCCTTTTACTACTTTTTTTCCCCCAAATACAAAAAGAAGAAATTGAAATAAAAAAAAATAAATAAGAAATGGAAAATACAATTAAAGATTTGGTTTAAAAACTTATAATTATATTTGTAGTCAATAAAGATTTGGTATTTTTGTTTCTTATTTATTTGCTTTATATTTTCCTTTCATCTTTTTTGTTTCTCATTTATTTATTTTTTATTTTCCTTCCATCTTTTTGTATTTGGAGACAATTAAGATTTTGTAGACAAAAATATAGGTTTTCAAAATCGTTTTTCCTCTTCCAAAAGAGGGGGAAGAGAGAGAAGGAAAAAATAAAAATAAAAATAGTGAAAGGTTGAATTTGTCAATTTATTGGTTTAACTTTGACTTTTAATATTGACTGTTAGTTTTAACGAAAATGCAAAAAATCAATGGTGACATTTTAACCCAAACTATAAGGGGTTTTATATAAATTTTAAAACCATATGGAGGTCACGTGTGATAAAGCATCAAATCCAATATAAAAATTCCAAGGTTGAATAACTCTCTGTATCGCCACTGGCCATTTGGTCCAGTGATCATCACCATTAAAGGTAATGCTGGAGGTCAGGGGTTCAATCCCTACCTCCCACAAATTTGCCACAATTTGTGGCGGTCTTAATTGACCTTCATCGATGGAGTCTGTACTCACATCGAATCCCCTCCCCTTCCCCTTAGACTAGGCTAGATTAGGTTATAGGACATCTATCGTTGCGAAAAAAAAAAATATATATATGATATTTATGGTCATATATTTTAAATAAAATGTTTATTATTGAAGCAAACTTTAATCTTTTAAATATTTTTCATAAAATAATTTTATATTGGTAGTTGTAATGTTTAGGAGTAGTTATGTTAAAAACATATATTTAAAAGTAAAAATAATCATGGATAATTATAGGTACTTAAAGTAAAAATAGTTTTTACAAGACAAAAAAGAAAGTTCATAAACTGAAGATAGATATTAATCCTAGTATTAACCCCAACCCCTTCCTCAAGCTTTATATATAGTATAGATAATCATTTGAACTCTTCTCATTTCCTATATTTCTTTCTTTTTATTTACTTAAGTGGTAACTCTTATAAAGTCGACTACAATTTAAGTAAACGGTCTGGAATGGCCTGTATGCCTAATGTATGAGAGCGGTGCTCCAGCTAATCGGCGATAAAGATGTCCACGTATAAATTGTTGATGTAGTTTTCATACAATGATTTCTTTTTTCCAAAATTAATTCATAACAATAATATTTATGTTCGAGGCAATGTGTCATGTGATTAGACTACGAATTACAAATTACTGAAAAAGTCTTATGGCTATTTCTCAAGGCAATTCAATCATCTAGATATAATGAAAGTGAAGGACCCACAACAATTATGGAATGTCCTAAATTTTTTTTTCTTTTTCTTTTTTTCTACTCAGGGAGTATCCAGGCTTCGGATAAGTCGGACCCGACTAATCCCCCTGAGACCCGAGAGGAGACGCCCCGTACCCTCGAACCGATATAATCACTGGGACTCGATCCCTGGTGGGAGAGAATGGACAACGGGTCCTAAGAAGGCTCCCGTGACCAACCGAACTACCCAGGAGGAGCCCTAAATAATTGACCCGTTTGCCAAGTACACTTTTCCAAAATATTTATTGATCTTTTTTTTTTAATGAAATGTTTTAAATTCAGAACTTTCTACTTAAAATTACAATCCCTTCCACCTTATTATTCAACCCAACTCTCCCCTTGTCTATTGTTTTGATTGTAAATTTTTTTTTTTTTTTGGACAAGCATGTTCAAATTATGATAAATCAAATTGGGCTAGATTACTTGCTAAGCTCAAAACTTAAAACATTAACGAAATTCCCTTTTTTTTTGGCATTCTAATGATGCTCGATTCATGTTGTTTTTTTAAATGAGTATTAATCAAACAAACCCAACTACACCTAAGATTTTTTTAAAAAAAACTATTAATCAATTTTTTAGATGGGGATGTCTTGGATTAATCAACTCTAACTTTTATGTATTTAGGCAGCTGTTGTCCAATGATTTGTAACACCATTCCTTTAATACAATACAATGAACTAGAGGCTAGAGCCAAAAAAACAAAAAGGCAAACGCTTTTCTGTTACGTAAGTCCTCGTTATACTCCTTGTTTGGACACATAAAAATTTTGCGATGTATAAATATCTTAAAATTGTATATAAAAAATATTTAATAAAAATAGCGTATACAAATAAAATATTTAATATATATTCAACTTTTAATGTATACAGTAATTGAATAAAATCGCACAAAATACAATTGTACTAAATTCTTGTCCGTCGGTGGAAAACCATTCAACACCCAGCAACACTCGGCTTCTCCTAGTTAGTCTTGGTCTCACCGCCAGTAGAAGTCTCCTTCCCCAATGCCCTTGTCATGGCGTTGCGACTAATATATACACACGAGCAAAGACCGCATATGAATTTTGAAGTACCCGCATAATCTTCTTTTCTTTTAATGTGTGATGTATTTTGGATCTTTTTTTTTTAAATTCAATCAAATCTTCAGACCAAATCAACTAGTAATTAATTAGGCAGGTGTTCTGACTAAACATTTTTTTGCTTAGTTAAATAGATTTTTTTTTTTAATTTAAGTCAATAATTGCACTTGGGGACATAAGTTTGTGCTTCTTTTTTTTTTTTTTAATGAGATTCAATTTAGGCAGGATTGACTAAATAGGAGTCACACAACAATTTAAAGTGATTGATTACATATCACTGATTAAATTAAAATGTTTTTTCCTTAACAAAAAATGAGAATAGATAATTAAATGTAATTATTAAGTGATCAAGTTTTTGTAACTATATCGTATCATTAATAACACGAAGTTATTAATTGATTAATTATATCGTGTCATCAACAACACAAAGTTATTATTTGCTTGGCAATTATTTATGCATCACAAAGAGCTAATATATACTAAGATTGTTCAAATCATAGAGTTGTGAATTTGTATTTTAATATATTGTTTTTGTATTAATCCCACACTATGTCGATTAGTGTTATAATTTTATATAGACTTTGTTATATATTTGTGTGTGTGTATCAAAGCTCAGAGTATTCATGGAATTAATTTCAGTTTTATCAAACACAGATGGGAGTAACATATTTTAAATTGATCAAGTTGTTTTATAACATACTCTAAGAAAAACATTACAACATTTGAACCCCAAGTTATCAAAATATTCGATTAATTTATAAAAATATTATAGTAGCTCAATTTAATGGTCTATAAAATGTGATGATCCCACTAAAATCAAGACCGACTTGCAAAGTTTGAATAGTATGGTCGCAAGATTATGGAGACAAGATATTTTAACTACTTTGCCTGCCAATATCTAAGGCCACAATTTTTTCTATTAATCAAAATCTCACGAAGAATTTTCCTGTTTGCATCATGAATGATGACATGACCCAGCTCATTCATTTCCAGTCTTCTTGACTTCTTCTCACTACCTCTGGCTAAGTAAACGACCAAAAACATTTATCAAAAAACTAAAATAATTTTTTTTTTTTGTAACGAATACACAATAAATACTCGTTAACGTACCTTAATCACATTCTAATATATTATATGAATATATGTACTAATAATTACTAAACTATCTTATATTTATACACTTTTTGCATGTAATTTTACATTTTTAAAAAGTTCAACGCTCAAACAATCGATCAATAAATAAGTGCTTATTGGACACTCGTCAAATGTATTCAAATAAATTGTACTGCCCAACCCGATAATTCTATTCCTTTTGTACCAAACAAACAAGAGAGAGAGAGAGAGAGGGAGGAAATAAGGGAAAAAAAAAAGGTGAAATAGAAAAACAGTTCTACTACAGCTTCATCTCCTCTCTTTCCTGGACACGACTACGCATAGCCCCCGCCAGCAAATCCAGAGCTGTACAAAAACCTGCGGCAGGCCCCAACAGCTCAACCTCAACTCAGCTCTCACCTGATCTCTCCTCGGGACTCTCTGTCCTTTTTCTCTCTCTCTCTTCTGTACTTTTTGAATTTCTTTTTTCTCACTTATTAAACTGTTGCCTCGAACTTCTCCCGCAACCCTCTCCTTCTCCTTCTTCTTAACTGTCAAGTTTCCATACAGTAAATTTTATTCACTTCTTCCGCTACTTGTCCAAGTCTTCCTCAACCTCATTAATGGAACCTTCCAATAATTGATTTAATTAATTACTATTTATATATATATATATATATACTACTATGTTTACATGAGATTTGGATCTACCGGAACTCGCTGTTTTGGTAGAATACTTTTTGCTGCGAAAAAAGAAAGAAATTTGTGAAATTAGCAGAGTAGTCTAATGGAAGGCGGTGGTGACGGAACTGTAAAACTAGGAAATCTCACCACCATGAAGCCGGCGGAGCTCGATCGAGCTTTCAACTTAGAGCCGGACGTGTTTGTTTCCTCGCCTGTCACTCGGCAGAAAGCTGCCGCCGCCAAACAATTTATCGAGAATCATTATAAAAACTATCTGCAAGGCCTCCAGGATCGCAAGGACAGGTTCGCTTATCTCTCTCTTTTCTGTAACTATAATTGTTAGTGCACTAAATACACTGGAAAAGATGTTTGAATTTAGATGCGCACATTTTTTGTGTGTGTGTGTATATATATATATTATATAATTTTGTTTTTTAAAATAAAGGAGGAGAGCGCTGCAGAGGAAGGCGGAGGAGGCTAATGTATCGAGCGAGGAGCAAGAGGAGATGCTGAGGAACTTGGAAAGGAGAGAAACGGAATATATGAGATCGCAGAGGCACAAGGTTGGGATTGATGACTTTGAGCAGTTGACTATAATCGGTAGAGGTGCTTTTGGTGAGGTAAATGTGTTAAGTACATAGAAAACAAATACACATGTGGCTCCAATTTCGCTATTTATTTTCACATTTTTTGCTGATTCTTATTTGATTTTTAGTCATTAAATGCATGCTATATTCTTTTTCTGTTTATTCCCTACTATGAATGAAGTTCCTTAAGCTTGATTCTAACGGTTTTGCTGTAGAATCAATCTCCTACGTAACTGCCTTGACATGGATTCGAAATGCTTTTTATCAAGTTTGTGAAATCAATACGAAGGATTGATGGAGAATGTAATTGTATAATTTGATAGACGAGCGAGCACAAAGTAGGATCTTTCTCCTGTGAATTTCAGCATCTATCGTATCTAATTTAACATGTTCATTTTTCAGCAATGACAGTGAAAAATACAACGCTGTCTTCTTTTCAGGTTTTATTACTTTGCTGTACATGATCATTTTTTTTCCTTTTTTTGTTTTTCACATAGGGCACGCTGAATAAAGGAAGTTGTGTTCTGATAACGAAACTAGATTGACCATGAGAAGTTACCTTTGCTGTCATTGATACATTTTGTAGAAAAATCTCAGTTCATATTGTTTTTCATTTAATGTGCAAAATCTTAGGTGCCGAAAAGGTCAAATTCAGGGCCGCCGAAAGCCAACAAGAACTCATGAATATGTGCCCAAAAGTTCAAAGTCGTATTCTAGTCATGTGTATTGATTACGTGGAACTTCCTTCATGGCTTTTTGCAAATTCTATTCAGCATTTAAGGAGTTTATTTACTGATATTATTGTTGTTTTCGTTTTGGTAAAGTTCTGCCTAGGAAAGAAAGGTTCTTTATTGCTCTTTCTGTAAGGTATCTAGGTCTTTCGAAGGTAGAAGCACTTATAAGGCTACCCTTGTGTACTAGAGGGATGGAGAAGTTCATGCCACATAAGATCCTACTAAATTAGTATCGCTTCTTGCTTACCCTGCTATGATGCAAAATGTCAGAAAATTGCATTACATTGGACCACTTATCTATGCATTGCTTTGATACTAAGAGTTCAAGCATGCTTGTTGGTATGCAGGTTAGATTGTGTCGTGCTAAAAATACAGGAGAAATATATGCCATGAAGAAATTAAGGAAGTCCGATATGCTCAGTCGGGGACAGGTGAGACCTTGCTAATTGAAAACACAGTAAACATATTCGGTTGTTTTCCTTCTAGATCTTATGGTATCTACCTCATAATTGTAGTTGGTTAATATTAGGAGTTATTAAGATTTTAAGAGACACGTACGTGACTCTCAATTGAGAAAGAAAATTATCCAAACTTAAAAGCAAAAGCCAAGGTTATAAGAAGAGAATAGTAGTTACAAAATTGATATAATAATAGGGAACAGTTTATGTATTTGATTGGCCAAATGGAAATTCTGAATGCAATAGCTATATGCATGCAGGAGGGGAAAAAGATGATTAAATTCTTGACTTTCATATTCTAAAAGGTATACCGAGTATAAGTACCTGTGTCCTTGCTAATTTTTTCACTCCATTCCAGGTTGAGCATGTTCGCTCTGAGAGGAATTTGCTTGTAGAGGTTGACAGTCGGTGCATAGTAAAACTTTTTTATTCTTTCCAAGATTCAGATTTTTTGTACCTTATCATGGAGTATTTACCTGGTGGGGACATCATGACCTTACTGATGAGAGAGGATATTCTTTCCGAAGATGTTGCCAGATTCTACATTGCTGAAAGTATTCTTGCTATACATTCAATTCATCAACACAATTATGTACATAGGTACCAATACATGTGATTGCAGTGTACTTCTATGAATTTCATATTACCTTGTGTATTGGAGAGTGTAGCATCTCTTTTTGAATATGTGAGTACATATGACTATTCCTCAAATCAATTTTGAAACATAGACTTGGACCGTATAGGTAGTGCCAAGTCTTTCTTTCCTCAGAATTCAAGTGCCAAACTGTCCATATGCTGACCCTTTAAGGTCTGATGGCATCCAAATTAAGTGGAAATTCTTAGTTACTTGTAAGTTTTGTAGCATGACTTGATGTATCATGTCCAATAGCTTCTCCATAATTGAAGTATTTTTCCACTTTTTGCTTAATTTGGTATTACAGAGGTATTATTGATGCTGCAACGAGTTGAAAATATTTTGATGCTCAGATTTAAACTCTGGAGTTACAGATTTGTGTTGAATATCTTAACGTAGTTGAAACATGCTTGACAATGAACTTATCTTTGGTCTTATTTAGATTTCTGTGCATAATACACGTCTACGATTTGATATTTACTTGAAATACTTATTCGTTTAGGGATATAAAACCAGATAACCTAATATTGGACAAAAATGGTCATCTGAAGCTTTCCGACTTTGGCTTGTGTAAGCCCCTGCATAACAAATATTCTTCAATCCTTTTGGAAGATGAGGACTTGTCAATTCAGGAGTCTCCAAGTGAGCATGATGGCGACTCAGAAAGTAGTAGACCTCCTTGGTTAATGCCAAAAGAACAGTTACAACAATGGAAGCGTAACCGCCGAGCCTTGGTATTCACTCCCAACTTTACTTTTGTCTCTTAGTTGCTTAGTTGCAATGTCTAGTTTAATGACTTAAGTTTGACCCTTGTTTTATTTATCCACCAGTCATGCATTGATCCAATTTATGCAATGGCAATGTAACATAATTTGCAGGCATATTCTACTGTTGGGACACTGGATTATATGGCACCTGAGGTTTTGTTGAAAAAAGGATATGGAGTAGAGTGCGACTGGTGGTCACTGGGGGCTATCATGTACGAGATGCTAGTGGGCTATCCTCCCTTCTGTTCCGATGATCCAAGAATTGCATGCCGTAAGGTACCCAAATGGTCATTCTGTTAATTGAGCCCTGGGAGGGGTGAGGATAATGAAAATTAAATTTATGATTCTTAGCTCAATTGACATTGACACTTAGTTTATTTGGAATTTCTGAATATTAATGTCTTGCTGGCCTTTTTGTGAAATACATAATACTTTCCTAAATTGGTCAAGATTCTTACTGTTATTTTCAATTTATGATAGGGATAAAATGAATTAAGGACGTTATGTGACCCTTGAGTTATATCTTATTTAGTGTTGCTAACTGTCGTTGAATACTTCATTTTTTTCCCCTTATCAGATAATAAATTGGAGGACTTGCTTGAAGTTCCCTGAAGAACCAAAAATATCAGATGAGGCAAAGGATCTCATCTGTCATTTATTATGCGATGTAGATGCAAGGTTAGGGACCCGAGGAGTGGAAGAAATAAAGGTATATCTGCATTTATTAGCAATTCCCATACATGATCTGTGGTGGGGAGTTTATTTATCACTTTATTAAATAAGTGCCCAGTTCCAGAGTTTTAAGATGCTCATAACTATTAGGACGAGATTCCTTGTAATGACAAAGGTTTTACTCTGGATTAGCATTAATGCATTTATTATCTAAAACCTTATATATAATTACCAATATGTTTTCAGGCACATCCATGGTTTAGAGGCGTCCAATGGGACCAGCTTTATGAGATGGAAGCTGTGTACAAGCCAAGAGTAAATGGAGAATTAGACACACAGAACTTTGAGAAGTTTGCTGAAGTGAGTATTTCAGTTATTGCGTAATAGCTTTTTGGATAAAAAATTGGAGTAAGTTAATGGCGTTACTGAAGAGGTTCAGCTGAATTTTGATAACCATCTTTAACGACCCCAGGAATTGGGCAATCCCTGGACCTGTTTTTGCACCACCTCTTTGAGCCTAGAACTTATAGTATGAGATTGTAGATTGCAAACCGGACTTACTGTTCTGCTCCAGAAAAAGAAAAAAGTGAATACCATCTTGCACCTTTTTTTTACCTTTGTGCCCCCTTACCTAGCCTGCTCCTTTCTTGGTTTCTCTCTTCCACATTGGGACTTTGGTCTGAGAACATGATTATTTTTTTACCAAGTTAGAAAGGCTCTTGCCATTTCCTTACATTACTCTAGTACCTCATTTCCAGATACCTGCAGAAGTTGTCAGAGTTGCTATTACCATTTGTCAGTTGATATTGACATCTGAGTCATATGAAGCGTCTGACATTGTGGCATGTTTTGTTTCTCAACAGGTGGGAGATGCACCATCAACAGGACCAATAGTAGGACCTTGGCGGAAGGTTGCTTTTCTATTTTAAGTTTTGTGGTCTGATGAAATTTTTCATTGATATGTCTCGTTTCCTTAAATGAAAAGGGAATAAGGGTTCATATTTGATGCAGTTGGGATCATGAATTTGGAGCAAAATTTAAACAATTCGCAGGATAAGCATGACTGTGTTTTGATTTTGGAATGGTATCTTGTTTATTGTTGCAGATGTTGACATCAAAAGATGCCAATTTCATTGGATTTACTTTCAAGAAGTCTGACGCCCTAAAATCTCTTGGCACTTCAGGTATGCTACTTGTTGTTTGTGTGGGTGTTGTGCCATCATAAATCGGGCTTGAAGCTCTCACCTTACCAACTTGCCACAGCTGATGGCTGTTGGTCATGGCTACTACCAATTCCTGACAAAGAAATGATTGTTTCTGATTCATGGTCTTCATATCTCATTGTTCGACTGTGAAAATGTGTTTTATTATGAAATGTTGCTGTGAAAATTCGAGGAGAGCTATTAACAAGCTACTTCCTGACTGCCGGAGACATTGAAACAGAAAGAAGCTGGAAAAGTACTTGTCCTTAGTATATTAAAAAAAAAAAAACTATTTTGGGCCCTCACTTTATCGAATGAACTCTCTCCTAAATCCCTAGCATTTTAGCTGGTGTCTTGCATGATATTTATTCTGTCATTCTCATGAAAAATGACGTGTTTTACTATCCAGTGAAGTGAATTTAAGTTAGCAACTGAACTATTACTTGCTGTTTTCATCCTAATTAAATGATCAGTTTGTGAATTTAGCCGTCATAAATGTTTACTATCATCACAAACTTGAGTTATGAATCAGTAAAGTAACATTTTCTTGTGCATTTTCTCTTACAAATTCTTGTATCCATTTATAATTTTCTCATCATGGAAAGCTCCTGTTTGTTATGTAGGTGTAGTAACAAGGTCAAGTGCATCTTCAAAGCCTCCATCCTTAGTCTCATTATTTGGTATGGTGACCTTTCTGGTTCTACATTTACATAACAAGTGCCTTTTTTCTTTGTTTATTTTTGAAATGGGATTTGGTTGATCATCAATTCTGTGCCTTCATATGGTGATGAGAGACTGATAAGAAAAAAAAAATCATCTTGGTTGCTTTTAAATGGAAACCATATGATTCCAACCTAAAATTCAATTGCAGAAGGAATGCAGTTGAATGCAAAATTGCTCCTGTGTTGATGACTAAGTTCTAGGGTGTTCTGTACTGTCTATAACACAGCATTCACACTTTTTATGGATAATTTGCATTGCTATTTCAAATAGTTACCTGAACTCGAATTTTCATGCCCTTACCAATTTCTCTGTCTGTATGATTTTGTGTTTGTCTGTGTAGCTACTAGGTTTTCATATGTTCTGAAAGATGCTTGTCATCATGAGCGTATAACATTCTGGGAGCGGAAAAGTTTTCCTGATATTGCCAATTTGTCTTGGTCTTCCGTAATGATTTAGATCAACTTTTCTAGTAGTGTAGGAGGAAACTGTTAAGAAGCAATGGTTACTCATGGTAAGAGTGAGCTTAACAGAATGCTGCAAAACGGGAGTCTGATATATCTAATCATAAAAAGTTGCACGTGATTTTTATAGCAATCATTCCTCCTACAATTCTGCTTTTTAAAAAGCGATGATTTCCTTCCATTACCTTACTCAAATTTTCTTTAACAATTTTCTTCATGCCAGCTATCCATTTAAAGGAGAATTGGACGTTTAATTCCTTGTGTTAATTGTTGTGAGAGTGCAGCATTGGTCTGTCTGTGTTGTCTTTACTCCATAGTTGCTTAGAAGAAGCTTTCGAGTAGCTACTGTATTAAGTCTCTAAAGCCAGGTACTTTACACGACTCATGCAGGGAAGGTAGACCTCCAAGAGACAATAGCAGAAGATGAACCAAAACAAGAATGATAAAAAGTTTTTTCTCCTTATGCCTTCTACAAGCATCTTGTTTAGGAGTTATTCTTGTAGCTCGACAGCTAATTGCTTTACAAGAAGAGAATAAATACTCAGCTAAAGAGCTGATACGATTTTGAGATGTGCCTTTTGTTCTTCCCCTCCCTGATGTGTATATACGAATGCTAATGTACAGCCTTAAAAGTATTATATCAAGTTTAATTCCGTCAATGCTACCATGGCGAAATTTGATTTTCAAATAAATGGTTAAAAATAGAAGGCTACTTGTATGTTGGTCTTGCTCCTAAGCTGATGTCAACAGGGATTAGTATTGCTTCATTTGCAATTTTAAAAAAAGAGATGTTTTTTCTTGTAGGCACTGGTTCCATAACAAAAAAGGGGTAATGGAATCCTTTCTGCTCATATTCTTTCTAGATTATATTGGAAGGCGGTAACAGTACCCAGAATCTGAAGCGTAACCCTGAAAATCAAGAAAAGAAACGGAGAACACAAAAGCTCAGCCTGGGCTGGATACATCTGAGATGGATTATTGTCTTTGCACCCTCAAGAAAAAGCTGAACAGGTGATGGGGAGTTATCATGATGGGATAGATATTTTAGCCGTTCATAGTCTTTATACATCAAAGGGATGAGATATGCTCACCGATATTTATCGAGTGTATGCTTGAAAGGTGAAAGAGGGAAGATTTTCCTTTTCTTTCTGGGAAAACTTCACGTCATAGATAGATGATGTACACCACTAGCCGCAAATGCGCAAGGCAGAGTCAAGGCAGGATTATTCCATTCCATTCCAAAGGAAAAAAGGGATTCATATTCGTAATCATGTCCTCATTTTCATGCCCCAGTCCCAACCCCAACCCCACCAATGCGTAGACGTAATCAACTTCTTTAATAATTTCTCAACTTGGTAATAAATGAGCATTCCTCAGTAACAGCTCAAATGCGGTTGGGTGCAACTGCAGGCCTCATGGCATCAACCTAACAACACGTATGATGATGCTCACCGCTCCCATACCATGCCTGGTGGTAAGCTGGTATGGTACGTAGCACAGACTTAAAGAAAAAGACACTGCATCTGACGGTTAATCGATGAGTACTATTTATTATTAGGGATAATATTGGAAACCTTCTCTGAGTTTGTTTTAATATCACTTAGTACCTCTGTGATTTTAAAAATATCAATTACTTCCCTTATTGTTATTCGTATTATAAAATCATTAAATTTTCTAAACTTCCCTTCTTCTCTTTGTGCTAAACAATAATACTTTGAAGCAATTTTTTTTTTCACTCCATTAAAAACTACCACCTAAAAATAATCTTAAATACTGCTACCACGTCGCAAAGTCATAACTCCTAAACGTATAAATTTGAAAAACAGAAAAGATACTTGTAAAAAAATACATTAGCACCTGTTCAACTTTATATGATCAAAACTATGAACCCTATTTCTTTTAATCTCTTATCAATCCATGACCCAAGTCTTGAAGTTGTACTAAATTGCTATAAAAATCAAATCAAAATAATTAAAGAAATCGTACTTCATTTTACCACAATCACTTAAAAGAAGAAGATAAACAAAATTCAGTTTACAATAAGTTACAAAAAGAAAAAAGAAGTAGTCATTCAAACAAATGGACAAGATAGAATGTTAGAGAAAAGGGTAAGAGAAGAGAGTGACTTATATTTCTTTTTCTTTAAGTTTTTGAGCTTCATTTATTTGATATGTATGTATGAAGGTAAGGGTCTCTATAGTCATTTTGCAATTATCAAGAGAGGTAAGTGATATTTTTAAAACTTCAAGAGTGTTTAATGCTATTAGTAAAAATCACAAGAGAGGCTTCTAATATTATCACTATTTTCTCCAATCCTATAGCAAAAGAATTGATAATATCTACAATCATAACCTTTGTACAAATTTTAGGTGTGAATTGTAAAATCCATTCATAAATTTGAAGTGCATCTTTGATAAGTAAATCTCTTGTACTCCACCACTCTTTTATATTTGACTAAACTAATAAATATACTCTTGAACTATTATTAAGATTATAGCACCATCCACTCTACAATCTCTCTCTGTGTGTCTCATTTTGTTTCTGTAACCACTAATCACTGATCGCTGCTGTCAGTCATCTTTGCCAATGCACACCGATCTTAAAACTTTGAAAATCTTGGCAATCCAAGATTCCAACCCACGGTTGCATATTCTATCCCCTTTTCTTGAAATAGGCAAATTAGTGAGTTTTACAGTAGTTTTGGGTTTGGTATAAGGGTTGGGCTCAATGTTGTTAAATTAGGACCGAATAGCGACTCGACGAAATTATTGGATTAGGGGTCAATTGGTTAGATCAATCAGAGCGTTCTAAAAAATTCACTGACATCAAATTGATTTCATAATTATTTTATATTTTTATAAGTTTCAAAATATTAAAATTAAGTTTTTGGTTATATTTAATTAACCATAAAAATTATTTAAAAAATATTAGACTTGCAATCAAATATACACCCAAAAATTATGTATAAAAATGTAAATTCATGGCTAAAATATGTCAATTTTGCAAAACTACTTGAAAAACTAAATTAAGAAAAATTAATGCAAATTGGAATCACTGATACTAAATTGATAAAATGATAAAGATAAAAATTTATTAATTTAGAAATCATTTAGGAAAACGAGTAATTTTGATAATTACACTAAGTGGGTGGCAATTTTTTATTCCTATTAATAAATGAAAATATTACAATTTAGATAACTTAAATTATGCTTGGAAAAAATATTTAAGAAAGTTTGAGAAATGGACCAACCAGTCGAAACCAGGTTATTGATTTAGCTGGTTTGACAGTTTTAATTGAGTTTTGACCAAAGTAATTTTATGCTACAAACCAACTCGGAAGAAGGCTGGTTCACGATCGGATTGCCCGATCTAGCTTGGATCTAACAACACTAGTTGGCCTAGTGCTATTTATTCACGACATAGTCTGGTACAAAACATGTCCGTATAAATTGATCATTTTTTCACAAACAAGTTTTTTAAATGCGATGCTATAATAACACACTTCAAAACGCATTTTAAAAAACACCTAATTCATACAAATTTCAAATACAACTAACAAAATAAATAAGTAAATAAATAAAACTCTACTGCCTCTATCCTTTTTCACCCACACCACCCTCTCCTCCTCCATCGCCACTGCCATCTCTCTCTTTTCCCTTTCTCTCCCTTCACTCCCTCCCTCCCTCTTTCTCTCCTTCCCTCCCTCCTTCCTTTTCTTCTTTCTCCCCCATTTTGGTTGTGATTAGTGTGACTAGATTTCGACATGAACTAGAGAGAGAAAAAGGGAGGGAGGGAGGGGGTTGCGGGGGGGGAAGAAAGGAAAGGAAGAGGAAGAAGGAAGAAAGAGGAACAAGAGGGAGAAGAGAGCAGGAGAGAAGGGGAGGGCGGTGGTGATGGTGCTGTGGAAGAGGGAGGAGAGGAGAGGGTGATGGGTGGTGAATTTTTTTTTGAAAAAAATTTTAAAAATACCTCACTAAAATTTTAAATTTTAAAAATACCTTAAATACATTCTCAAGAACGCCCCAAAAACATCTAACCATTTATAGTATAAATTTTTTTTATACACATCACTACAATTAGAATGTTTGAATAATTGAATTATTTCATATAATATTTTGCTTGCATCATAAACACATTTTCTAACTCACTTTTTTATATTTCCAACTACTTTTTTACCTCACATACATCACATTATAATTATAAGGATTCTAATAATTATTTTAAATAATACTCTGTCCAAACACAAAATTTTTGGAAATACCAAACATACCCCTAAAAATACATGACCCGGACGGAGCCAATTTGAAGAGCAGGATAAACGAAGGGTAGCCTCACAAGTGTTTCGGGCATACTAGTCAGCTTGGTCAATATACAAGCCATGGGATTTCTGAGAGTGCTAATACGATCATATTGACCCCATTTGATTTGGCTCAAGTTATCATTAGAGCCCAAGACATCCTCGAAAACCAGGCATGTTAATTGTCGAACAATTGTCGAAAACCAGGCATTTAAAGTTCTCGGTACAAAAGATTACAAGTTGTCAAGAATTGTACGACGAGGCCGTGCAGACAAAATTGAAATTAATCCCGGACGGCGACGGTTCAAATGTTGTGCTGCTGCGCAGTCAATCCTCCTACTGGTGACCCAAGATATTTGTGAGCTGAGACTGAGAGTCCAAGATATTTTTTGGGGTGGAACAGTGAATTTAGCCGTACGAGAAAGAAAAATATCTTGCATCTGACCCTTGTCCTTGCTTTTTCCAATTTTCCATCCTCCTCCGCCTGCCTGGCTTCCTGGCTACTCACTCATTCCCCGAATTCGCGGCTGACGTGGACATCAACTTCGGCTGGACAAGTGTAAAAGTGCGACAACTGGGCTACTCTTTTTGGGTCCCAAATTCCTCTTTCTTTCCATCAACAAAAACCGACCCATTTGGTTTGTTCATGATACTAGTGAATATATAGTAAATCGTTCCAGAAACCAACCTAATCCAGAGAACGGCTTCTTTTACATGATTTTTTTTTTTTTTTGCCCTTTTTCGTTTTCTAAGTCTGGTGCTACGAGTGAACAATTCTGGGGATTTGTCTCTTTTGTTTTCCTAAATTTGGGTACGGATTCCAGAAAGATATCTATAGGAACATGCAAAGCTTAAATGGTTCTTCATCAAGGCCAGAAATGGACCGAACGGGGTCGCTATTGTCGGAGCTGAGCGTTGAAAAAGAAAAACATCCCTCGAATTCTGATGATACAACCTCAACTTTGCTGGTATTTACCTCTCCTTCCTTTTTTTTTTTTTTTTTTTGGACTTGAGTTTTCAGGTATAATTTCTGGAGAAGTATGTAGCTTCCTTTCTGGTATCTTGGGCATGAGGGATAGTTGGGTCTAGTTTATTCAGCTCATTTCTTGAACAAATTTTGTTTTTTTGGGGTGCTTTTCCATGGATTTTTACACACTTTAGCTACTATTGCCTTTTTTCCTTAATTCCTTTGTCATCTGTAATTATTTTTCAAGATTTAATTGTCAGTTGAAGGATTCTATCTGTTTGGTGATCCAAAATCAAAGCTGGTGGTATCTAATTTGTCATACGCTCATAGGTAAAAGAATCTATTTTGGGAGGTTTCAAAAGGCGGTGGAGTTTCTCTACTTCTACCTTGTTTTTGGGTTACTAGTCTAAGTGACTTCTTCGATCAGCAGAATAAAGATTATGAATTAAAGAGACAAGGAACAAGAAATTAATTTTTGAACGGATTGGAGCTGATGAGCCTTTAGTTTAAATTCCTATTTTGTTCTGATTCAGTTTATTGCATTCAGGAATCTCAAGAAACAGAATCAGAATCCACACAGTGGACAGACGAGAAACACAGCTTGTATCTTAATTCGATGGAGGCCTCATTTGTTAACCAGTTGTATGATTCGTTGGATACATTGGGTGGTTTCTCCCAACAAGAATCCTTGTCAGAACCTAAAAACTGGGGGCAAATGAATGATGGTGTTGCTACTCCTTCTGGCCAGGTTTGATCAAATAACTCGTTAATGATTGCTAGCTGCATTAGCAGTTCGGAATATCTACGTTATTCTTTGAAATGTGATCATTGACATTGCTATTGCTTTTTTTTTTTTTTTTGGTCTTAAAAATTAGTTCAAGGTTTTCAAAGATGGCTCTTGGGCAAGAGTCAATTTCAGCAATTACAGGAGAGAAATGGCACGACCAAAGCAAGCACAGAAATCTGACCCTGTTTTCGCAAATCCCTGGATTCAACATTACAGGTCCTCGTGCAGGCACCAAACCAGAACCTTCCAAGGACAAGCTCCTGTATCTACTACTGCCAATCCAACTGCGTTTCCGCTTGGCTGCCAAGATTCTATGGGCAGCAATACAGGTATATTACCATCTTAGTTTGGTCCAGTTTTCAAAAGCTCTAACTCCTTCACAGTGAGTGCTGCACTGCTGCTATTTTGTTTACATTGAATAGAGTTTACAGCCTCTTTTGTTAATAGAGACTGATTCCATTTTGTTTGCTAACTGGTATGGTCAAGGTTAATGTGTCTAAAACAGAAGTTTAACTTCACTATATCATAAACCATTTTTGGAGGTGGAAAGTTGAATGCCAATATTGCTATATTTATTCAAAATTAAAAAGATATCTTGCTACTTGATAACCAAAGGACGAATTGTAGTTGCTTGTTTCAACTATATCTGCCAACTTAGACAGTCTGTGATTGTGTTGTTTTCAGAGATGACTGATCAAAACTTTGCTGACGAGGATTCTGAAGAAGAGAAGAAAAGCAGAAAACGCCGCCAAAAATGCAGAAAAATGTCAGCAGCCACCGCTTCATCCAATGATCAAGTACATCCCATACTAAAGTCTTGCAAGATGAAAATCAAAAATCAGATTTTCTGACAACTATAAAGGTCTATAAATTCACTGTGCAGGTCGTGCCTCATGGAAAGTTATCTCTTATAGATGATCATTCCAAGGTTCATAGTTCCCAAAAAGAGTAGGGACTTGGATAGAGAACGCAATCAACTACGAGAATTGACATTTTTGTGATTGTAATTTACAACTCGTATTTTTCAGTTGATTCTAATTAGTAGTTTGACTACAGATGTAAACCTCAAACCCAGTGCTGAGGAGAGAAGGAAGATTGTCAAACCAGTATATGGCATGAGGCTTAGCCTGAGTTCTGCATAAGGGACTAGAGGAATGTCAAGGAGATGCAAGGGCCATGGATCATTCTGACACTGCCACAAATCAAAACAAGCCCCTGAAGACTCTCCATAAGATTTAAGCCCGTCTTTGCATGGAATCATGAACTACAATTTTATGGTGCTATGATGTCTGACATAACTTCATTTATTTATTGTTTGATTAATTTCATCCAGCTGCTTTGACGTTTTAGTGTATGCTTGCCTTTTGTCTTTGTAAAATCAGAAGAAGAAACATTGTACAGATTTTGGGAAAATGTCTCTTCAGTCTCTGTGATGTTCTCTGTTTTAGTTGAGAGTGTGCCTTTTGTATAGAGATACTTGAGAGCGCAGGTATATCGCCAACTTTCTATAAAACTTGCAGTAATATTGACAGGGAAATTATTCTAAATAATATTTCGCTTACATCATAAATATATTTTTCAACCCACCTTTTTTTATATTTTCAATTACCTTTTTATTTCACATACATTACATCATAAAAAGTGTTACAGTAATTATTCCAAATAATATTTCGAATAATATTCTATCCAAACACTCTTATAATTATAATATTGGGTTTGTTTGGATACCATTATTATTATTCCAAATAATATTTTGCTTGCATCATAAACACATTTTCCAACTCACCTTCTTATATTTCAAATCAACTTTTTATCTCACATACATCACATCACAAAAAGCGCTATAGTAATTATTTCAAAAAACACTCTATCCAAATATTAACTCCAAATAATAATAAATATTTGTAGGATCCCGCCAGTGTAATAATTTTTTTTTTTTTTTACATTAACATCTATGGATGTATGTCACAACATTTGTATGACTTAAATTTCAAAATTAAATTCATGTCACGTAACAAAATTGTATTAAAAAAAATGCTCATTTTTGTATTGTTGGTGCTACATGCATTGGTACAAAATGGTCGAATAGGAGTCTAACCGTTTTTCTTAAAATTCGCTATGTGAAGAAACCTGTACAAGGAAATGGCAGTGGAGTAGCAACCTGTATTGTATCAAAGAAAGGGCGGCTGACTTAGAAATGTTACTATTGTATATGATGATTTTTCGAGACGTACATTTGGACAAACTTAGAAATATGACCAAACCAAGCTTACCCACCGCTGTGCTGTCTGAAAAGTTGCCCAATTTCCCAGCGGGTCAGCGGCCCAACCCAACACACGATTGTATCGCAAAATTTGCCGATTGCTTTCTCCCCCTTTCTTGCGTTTCCTCCCTTTCTGCTTCTGCATCATAGAATTCTCTCTTCAAATTTTTCTTCCCTATTTTTTTCTTCTGAATTTTCGATTTTGACAGTAAATTCTTGCCGAAATTGATTACATATTTTTGTCCTTCAAGTTTAATTACATTAGGTCTAGTATATCGAAATCGATGAAGGCGACCGATTTAGCTAGGTTTTTTCAGTTGCTGAATATTATGCATAAAATTGAAACAATGCCGTGGTCTGGGATGACGACGAAGGCCGTAGGGCGGTGTTTGGCAACGCCGTCGAGATGTATCTCGACCGTTTATAAGACGCGGATATTCCAAATAGTGCGCGATTGGGAAGTTGTTTCAGATTCGAGATTCAACAGCTTTGCTGGCTTTAATCCATATTCTCCAGCTAATAATCGACGATTTCGGGTTCGTATCAACACAGCAATGCGTGTTTAGGATTTAGGAGCTTGTGCAATTGTGGTCATTGCAATGGCGTCAGTCTTTCGCAAAGGAGAGGATTTTTGGGGTGTGGTGATGGTGAAGAAGGGAGTATGTTATCCAAAGTCTATGAAGAACGCCGCGTTTTAGGGTAAGGTTTTGATTCTTTTCATCTTTGATCTTCTTCTCTCACCCCCTTTTTCTTCCATCTTATTTGTTTGGTTATGCTGAAATGCGGTTAAACTCTTGATTGATTTGTTAGCTGTGTCTTAGTTCGTTCGTGAAGCTCAGTTGTTTGAGAAAGATTGTTCATTTTATTTTAGCTGCGGTAGACCTTAGCATCACAGAGCGGTTATGTAACGGGGCAGTTCTGATCATCTAAAGTGGTGTAGATTTCATTTCTGCCTTAGATATTCGTGTTGCGTTTTTTCATGCTATAACTATCACATTAATTTCGGCATTTTTATCATTTTTGGGATAATTGGCTGCCAGAAAGTTTTGAGGTTTCATGTTGGATTTAGTTTCGTCATGCTTTCATCTATCCTGTGGTTGATCCTGTACTTTGTGACTTTTTCATCTAGTTTTACGTAAGTTGCATCCTGCGAGCTGAGCAAAAGTAAATTCATTCTGGTGGAAGAAGGACAATGACTGAGACGTACAGCCTATTCTTATGGAATGAGCTTTGATTGGCTTGCAGCACTATGCTGTTCAATCAAATTCTTACGAGTGCTATTACAGTTTTTTTCCATCTTCATATATCCTTATGTCCTAACTGTCTAGTTGCACTGCATTGAATTTTTTTCCATTTCATGCATTTGTTTTTCTTTTGTGTCATTATGTCAGAATTTGATCTTGCCCACATTTTTCTTATGAGGATCATATGATTTGTGCACTGACTTGTATTTTCTAAATACTGTTAGATACTCTCCAGAGCAGTTATTTGCTGTTGTTGCTGCTGTTGACTTGTATGAAGATTTCCTTCCATGGTGTCAACGATCAGAAATAGTTCGGCGCAATCCAGATGGATCTTTTGATGCAGAGCTAGAAATTGGTTTTAAGTTTCTTATTGAAAGTTATATGTCCCATGTTGAGTTGACCAAGCCAAGATATATAAAGGTATGAAAATTTCTTATAGTGAATGTCTTGGTTTTGGAAGTTTCAGTTTTCGGTATGCCTTATTCTAATGTTAACAGGTACAGACATAAGTGCTTTCTGTGCTTGTATCGGAGATATTTTGGTATTCCCATTTATGGAACTGGTCTGGTACGACACATTAGTGATTGACATGAGTGGAATAATCTAAGTTAGCTGGGATCATAGTGGCTTGTGAAATGTCCTTTGGTCCCTTTACCTTATGAAACATTGATAAATAGGATGCAGGTCATCTTCAAAATGTTCAAAGTGTAGTGTCAGTGTGACTGTTATAATTACTTATATACTGTCCTGAACTGGAGATTTCAACTTGTGAAAAGCAGCTCCATATAAATCTAAATATTTTCTTGACCTCATATGAACAGTAGGCCGTATGGCATCTTAAATACATCTTTTTGTTGTTATCTAATCCAAAACAAGGAAAAAAGTCAACCATAATGTTAAGCCGAGGCTAATTTGTCAAATGGGGTGCAACAAGTTCTATGATTGGCTTTTGGTTCAGAAGTTTGCTGCATTTATTATGTTTTGCTTTGCATGTCTTAGGAATTTTTACTGTACTTTGTGATGTTCATCGTGTCCTGAGCATCTTTTCAGACTTTCAGTTGATGAGATTTTAACATCTCGTACATTTTACTTGCAGACTACTGCATCTCAAAGTGCTCTTTTCGATCATCTGATAAACATCTGGGAATTCAATCCCGGCCTGTTCCAGGAACTTGTAACCTTTATTTCTTGGTTGATTTTAAGTTTCAATCTCCATTTTATCGACAGGTATGCTTCCTTTATGGAGTTAACTACTCTTGGCAAGATTGAAATTACATGTGAAACTTTGGAGGAGTTTATCTTCTCATTGGTTTAAATTATGTCCATAAAATCTGGGTTTGGTATCTGGTTAGTTTCCATGGTTGTTCTTGATAATCCGTGTTTAATGAGTATTGAAAGGGAAATTTTACGGGTGCAATGACATTAAAACTTTTCAAAACAAGCAATTTTTCTTTGAACTTTTGTGTTATTCAGTAATAATGGAGATATTGCTCTAAAGAAGTTGCAGAAATTCATGACTTATATCATAAGCTGGAGGTTTGAGTTTGGAATACTTTTCTTATTTTCCTTCTGCTTGACAGATGGCAAACATGTTCTTTAAGGAGGTGGTGTCTCGACTAGTTGGTTCCTTTAATGACCGTTGCCGTTTGATATATGGACCTGGGGTCCAAGTTCTTGAAAATTCTTATGAACAGAGGGCCTGAGAGTGTCCATTTACTCCAAACTCAGCCAAAATGATGATGCTTTCTGTTTTAAGCATATGACAACCAGTGCCTTTTCTTTGCTCTGGCGGGTAAAATTTGAAGGATGGGAAAGGTGTTAATTGGACCTGGTACTTTGCCCCTTGTTCGATTAAACTAGCCAACTTGCTCATACGACATCGGGTATAGGGTAATTATCTGAACCGTGCCATTTGTTATAGACATGCATCAGATTAAATTCTTGAACGTAGTTGTATCTGGTTGATCTTAACTTAGTTGTCATTGCTTCAGCTAGAGGATTTCCTGTCCGCTTTCTGTTATTAGTCTCTTTGTTGTGCAGCCAAGCAAAAGGAAACGAGAAATTCTGGCCCTTTCTCTTTTTTTGAACTTTTGTGCCGTCAGTTTGTACTTACCATTGAATTGTAGGTTTCCAATCAGAAACGAGTTCATTCTCCTTTTTACCTCGTTAACACAGAAACGAACACCTGTGGATTTTTGTATGGGCCTAATAACGACTTAAAATTACTGTGTGTGGCTTGCCTATTCAATAGCGAGCCCAAGACACTATGGTTTCAGCATGTACCCACGGAGTTGCGCTTCATAGCATCGGACCACCAATTGTTTTTCAAAGTCCAGCGTCGATGTCCAGGACATGGTCGACTAGGGGCTTGGTCAGGGATATAGAAAGCATCTTGTCTTGTCTCGTTCGTAAAATGGAGGGATTGGGCCTGCAGAAGTGCAGATGCAAATGAATAACTTGCAAATCATTAACCAGTAAATATTTCAAAAAATTTGTACACATTGTGATCCACTTTGCCGAGTAAAGAGTTGTTTTGATGAGATTTTCTCTTTTTTTCTTTTTGGGTTTCTTTAGAACATAATGTTGGACCTGAGATGACTGGAGTCCACATATAGATCTTGCAAAGCAAATTTTTAAGCTAAATTAGTTTGTGATAGCCTAAGATAAAAATCTCCATTGCGAAGATTTCATTCCCATTTTGTACTTCTGATAGACAATTCTTCTTTACTGGATGTGTAGGGAAGATCAATTGGGAGCTCTTGTTTTCGCAACCGCTCCCAATATACATCCGGCGAAGAAAATTCGAATGATATCGATTTTGAGAAGAAAATCTAGCCTAATTATCAACTCTGTCTCAAAATCTGACCCGTTTCTAACCTGTCAACCATTACTTTTCTACAGTCAAATCCCTTTTTATTTAGAGGAAGCGGAATAA